AAAAAGATTCCTTTTACTGTTCATTGACAACACACCTGGTCACCCAAGAGCTCTGTTGGAGAGGTATGAGATTAACTTATCTTTTTTTAAGATTTCATTTATTTATTTGACAGAGACAGAGATAGCGAGAGCAGGAACACAAGCAGCAGGAGTGGGAGAGGGAGAGCAGGCTTCCCGCCGAGGAGGGAGCCCGATGTGGGACTCGATCCCAGGACCCTGGGATCCTGACCTGAGCCAAAGGCAGACGCTTAACGACTGAGTCACCCAGGCGCCTGAGATTAACGTTTTCATGCCCACTAACAAAATATCCATTCTGCAACCCATGGATCAAGGAGTAATTTCAACCTTCAAGTCTTATTAAGAAATATATCTTATGGGGCGCCTGGGTGGCTCAGTCGTTAAGCGCCTCCCTTCGGCTCGGGTCATGATCCCAGAGTCCTGGGATCAAGCCCGGCATCCAGCTCCCTGCTCATCAGGAAAGCCTGCTTCTCCCTTTCCCACTCCCCCTGCTTGTGCTTCCTCTCTCGCTGTCTCTGTCAAATAAATAAATAAAAAGAAATATATCTTACATAGTCAGAGATGCCATGGACAGTGATTCCTCTGATGGATTAGGGCAAAGTCAACTGAAAACCTTCTGGAAAGGGTTCACCATTCTAGATGCCATTAAGAACATCTGATTCATGTCAAGAGGGCAAAATACCAACAATAACAGGAGTTTGGAAAAAGTTAATTCCAATCTTCATGAATGACTCTGAGGGGTTCAAGACTTCAGAGGAGGAAGTAACTATAAATATATAAATAGTAAAATAACTAAATTTAGAAGTGGAGCCTGAAGATGTGATTGAATTGCATGATAAAACCTTGATGAGAAGCTGTTTCTTATGAATGAATGAGCAAAGAAAGTGGTTTCTTGAGATGAATTCTACTCCTGGTGAAGATGCTGTGAAGATCGGTGAAATGACAATGAAGAATTTAGAATATTACATAAACTTAGCTGATAAAGCAGCAGAAGGGTTTGAGAGGATTGACTCAAATTTTTAAAGAAAGTTCTATGATGCATAAAATGTTATCAAACAATATCATATACTGAGAAACTACTCATGAAAGAAGTCAACTGATGCAAAAACTCCACGATTTCCTCATTTTAAGAAATTGTCACAGGTTCAGCTTCACCCAGATCACTCCACCAACATGGAGGGAAGACCCTCGACCAGCAAAAAAGTTACAACCTGCTGAAAGTTCAGATGATGGTTAGTCTTTTTTTAGCAATATTTTTAAATTAAGATACGCACGTTATTTTATCAGATATAATGCTACTGCACACTAACAGACTAAAATGTAGTTTAAACATTAAATATATGCACTTTGAAAACAAAAAATTTCAGGGGCGCCTGGGTGGCTGTGGGTTAAGCGTCTGCCTTCGGCTCAGGTCATAATCCCAGAGTCCTGGGATCGAGCGTGCATCAGGCTCCCTGCTCTGAAGGGAGGCTGCTCCTCCATCTCCCTCTGTGGCTCCCTCTGCTTGTGCTCTTTCTATCTCAAATAAACAAAATCTTAAAAAAAAAAAAAAAAGGAAAGAGTCATTTGACTCACTTTATTGTGGTGGTCTGGAACCAAACCCACAATATCTCCAGGGTACGCCTGTAATGATCTATTTTTATTGGCATACCACCACGTGCCCTTCTTGGCTCTTCCCAACTCATTTCATCCCAATCCTTAACTTTGGAACAACAAATCCATCTAGTCCCTCTTTTATCATTCAGTTCCAGCAGTCTTTTCTTTCTTTCTTTCTTTTTTTTTTTTTTTTAGGAGCCTTTCAAAGAAGGATCTCCTTATTCTGAATAAGGGAAGGTATAAAACCATGGATTGAGTCATTCCTCATATTATTTGGGGGAGAAAGGTGAGACTGCTGCAGCTCACACCTGCTGCCCAAAATTATGAAGCTGTCCAGCAGAAGTAATCCTGAAAGCTCTATTTATAGTTAAAAATAGGAAAAAAAAGAAAAAAAAAGGAGGGGGCACCTGGTTGGCTCAGTCAGTTAAGTGTCTGCCTTCGGCTTAGGTTGTGATCTCAGCTCTCTGCTCAGCAGGGAGTCTGCTTCTCCCTCTCTCCTGTGCTCTCCCTCTCTAATAAATAAATAAAATCTTTAATTAAAAAAAAGAGAAAGCAAAAAAAGATCCTGAAGTCCTAAGAGACAAGCTTTAGAGTACGTAGCTCCAAAAGTGCCAAGTGGGGAAGGGAGGCAGCAAAGTCAGTAGTGACGGGATGATATTATGCAGTATCAAGAAAAACTTTTGTATTTGAAATGTATTATTTTACTTATCTTGAATACTTCTTCCTTATAAAATAAATGATATGAACAGATTTAGGTATGACCACTGTAATGAAGCTATGAAGAGGTGACATAAGAGTACAAACAAGCTAGAGAGCATTTCCAAATTAATATAGTCCAATCCTTAAAACCTCTGATTTATAATGTCAACTATCCTGTATTTTCACACTGCTAACCGTTATCAAATCTTCACTGACTAAATTAATCCAAGATTAAAAAGTTAATAAAATGAAGGGCCACAAGACCAGTAGCATCATGTGTAGACTCACAAATACAGACTACAGAAAGCAGAGACCATCAGATATCCTGGAAGAAGCTATAACTACTGAACTGTGTACACATTATGAAAGTATTTTTGTCTTGTTTCAATAAAATTAATATAAAAAATTACAGAAAAGCCACTCGGTATACATTTACCACGAGTTTTCCTCATATTTTTATAGAACTGTAATCATGGACTCTAACACTGAGTCCTTTTATCACGTGACATAGTATCTGTTGTTAGTCTTTAGCTTTATTTTAATGGCTGCCTAATATTCCATAGTAATTTTTAAATTATTTCTCCAACTTTCTGACATCTGTCATATAATGCTGAAATTAGTATTCATATGCATACTACTTTTCCTGCATTTGAAATTATTTCATTAGACTACACCCTATTTTCTAGTTTTATCTTTTAAATCAGAATAAACTACATACAGCTGGGACTTGAATCTAATTTTAAAGGAATGAGAACTTAAGTAGACTAAAGTTGGGGTTTCTGGAGGCTCCTGATCACTTAAAAGACCAAAGGCACAGAGAGTAAAAACAAATCATTTGGACAAAACCGTAACAGTACTTTAAAAATGAGAGGATTTAGAAAACTGGGTGACTTTAAAATGCAATGCTAACATTCACGTTTCAAAACACTCTTTTATCTTCTAAGAAAAGGATATTACCAAGTCTTTTATTCCCAGAAGATGGGATTCTGAGAAAGCTGTAAAAACAAAATTTCCCACGGACTACTGGATTGCAGGTAAAGGAGTCAAAAGGCTTCTACGTGTATACGCACCCACTCACATACACCTCGACTACTATTTTGTTAAATACATGCACAAGGGGAGAGAGAGAGAAAACTGGCCCTGAACTGAACGCTGTTGATGCGAGATGAGGAAGGAATTCATTATACTCTTCAGTCAGTATGAAATTTTAGTAAGAAATTAAAAGCAGGGGCGCCTGGGTGGCTCAGTCGTTAAGCGTCTGCCTTCAGCTCGGGTCATGATCCCAGGGTCCTGGGATCGAGCCCCGCATCGGGCTCCCTGCTCAGCGGGAAGCCTGCTTCTCCCTCTCCCATTCCCCCTGCTTGTGTTCCCTCTCTCGCTGTGTCTCTGTCAAATAAATAAAATCTTTAAAAAAAAAAAAGTTAAAAGCATAACGCAAAGCAAAAAATTACAATCCCCGAGAAGAGCTATTTATGAGCGGCTTTTAATTTTTTTTTTTAAGATTTTATTTATTTATTTGAGAGAGAGAGAGAATGAGAGACAGAGAGCATGAGAGGGAGGAGGGTCAGAGGGAGAAGCAGACCCCCCGCCGAGCAGGGAGCCCGATGCGGGACTCGATCCCGGGACTCCAGGATCATGACCTGAGCCGAAGGCAGTCGCTCAACCGACTGAGCCGCCCAGGCGCCCTTGGGACTCACTTCTTTCTTTCTTTCTTTTTTTTAAAGATTTTATTTATTTGAGAGAGAGAGAATGAGAGAGAGCACATGAGGGGGGGAGGGTCAGAGGGAGAAGCAGACCCCCCGCCGAGCAGGGAGCCCGATGCGGGACTCGATCCCGGGACTCCAGGATCATGACCTGAGCCGAAGGCAGTCGCTTAACCAACTGAGCCACCCAGGCGCCCGAGCGGCTTTTAATTTTACTACTGCAGAGAATGAAAGCGGCTGCGTCTTTCCTACTGCCTGATTGTAAACGGACCCTCCGTGGATCCCGATCCTGGCAAAAGTTTACGCCGCCGTTTCAAGTCCTCAGCTCCAGCACCGCGGAAGAGGAGCGCTGAGAACACAAAGAGGAGAAAGGCAAGGACCGGGCCTCAGGCTCTTCACAAGGTCTCGCATAAGACACGGGGGAATCTGCGAAAGGGGAGAAGACGCTGCTCGCTTAAGCTAAAGAGAAAGGCAATTTCCTCCGGCCAAACGGGGCACCACCTCAGGAGGCCGCCCCGCCAGGTACAGGCGATCAGGCTCTCGCGGTCAGTGCAGACCCCGACCTCCCGAAGTCTCTCTGGACCAGGGGAAACCGCACAGGGGTGTTACCGATACCGCAGGCCAAACCCTGTCACCAACAGAAGCCGGAGCCGAGGCCGCGGCGTTTCCGCCTCGGGGGAGAGTCCTCGAGGCAGGAAGGACAACGGGAAAGTTTCGCCGCCTCAGGTAGCCAGGTCCAGCGGTATCCAAGCGGCTCTCGGCCCTGCCACGCCCCCAACCCCGGCCTCAAGCGGCCTCCCACACCGCGGACCTCCGGCCTGACCTCCGGCTTGACCACCGGCCCGACCCCAAACCCAGGATCCTTCCCTTTCTCCTCACTTGCCACCTCAGGGTCGTCTGAACCCCAGACTAGGGACTTCTAAATCCGGAGCGCAGTGCGAGGAGAAAAACAAAGACCCTTGACGTTAAGACTGCCACACTCACCTGGCTGAGTCCAGGCGTGAAAACGGGTGAAAGGAACTTGGCACTTAAAAGCTCAGCACCCAAAATGGCGGCTCCCTCAGCCTCAGCACAAGCAAGCACGGGCGGAGGGATCTGCGGGGCCAAGATAGCCACTCCCTCCTTCCCAGAGATTGGCTGCGCGCTCGTCGCTTCCGGAACTCACGTCCTGAGCGGCTCGAGGCTCCCTCATCCAGCTCCCTTCGGAGCCGGCGCGATGGGAACTACTTCCCGCGGCGGAGGCATGGGTGGTGACGCGTCTATACGTCACGCCACCTGCGTTATCGTTACCTGGTAGAGGCGCAGGCCGGCTGGGGCCGGTCTTGCCCTAGGTGCGGAGAGGTAGACGGGAGTGGTTTGTTCACCTGCTCTGTGCTCAGTACCTTCTATCGGATTTCTCCAGTCTCTCGAAAAACCGGCTCCAGTACTACCTTTTAGACCCTCGGAATTACTCCCTGTGATTTGCTCCCGTCTTTCGCTCAACTCCAGTAACCCTAACGGCTTTCCCCCGGGTGTCGGTTTCTTCTCCTGCGGCAGTGCCTGAGCAGGTTTCAGTTCTTTAGAGGCTGTTTTTCCGACCCTTCACCCTAGTCCCCTAGTTGCCCACCATCACTCCATCGATGTCCTCCAATAACTCTGCCCCTCATTTAAACCAAATCTGATTGCTCTTTCAACCCGAATCTCTAGTCTGTATTATTTAAGTCACTAATGTTTCAACACCACGTTCTCCGGGAATTCACCTTGTCTCTATTCAGAGGAAACTTCTGGTTTTCTTTTTCACTTGAAAACCAGTCTCTCGGTTTACCGAGGGAAGGGGCTTCTCGGCTCTTGGCTTCTAGGAGAGGTAATTCCGCCCTCTGCTGTAGAAGCTGCATCTACCGGGACCAAAATTGCGGTTTGCGAAATTGTAATGTGGTCGTTATGACAAGGATGGAGCTACGCGTTACTGTATGAGGTTTATATGAATTTAGAAATAGTGTGTTTTTATAACCACTTGAAATATTTCCGTAAGGGGCGCCTGGGTGGCTCAGTTGGTCGGGCGACTGCCTTCGGCTCAGGTCATGATCCTGGAGTCCCGGGATCGAGTCCCGCATCGGGCTCCCTGCTCGGCGGGGAGGCTGCTTCTCCCTCTAACCCTACCCCCTCTCATGTGCTCTCTCTCTCTCTCTCTCTCATTCTCTCTCTCTCAAATAAATAAATAAAATCTTAAAAAAAAAAAAAAAGAAGTATTTCTGTAAAAAACCGGTTCAAGAACCTCAAAATACAGTGTTTGGTTCTTTTAAAATGGGGGGGAGGGGAGTCCCCTGTAAATACATGCAAATATAATTGAGTCTGTTACGCAGTAAGATAACGGCATCTTAAAAAATGGAAGTGAGCGCGGACTGCACGAATCTAAAAAGCAACCAAATGCAATGTGTGTGGATCTTGTTTAATGGTTCAAACCAACCAACTATAAAAGACACTTTTTGAAACAATCAGGGAAATTAGATTATGTACCAGGTATTACATGATACCAACTAACCAAAGAATTGTTATTTTGGTAAACATGAAAAGGGCATTGAGAATTTGTAAGAAAATGTCCTTTAAAAATTTTTTAAACAATGAATACTTTGCATTGGGGTTAAATCCAAAAATCCTGATGATTGTTTAATCGAATGTTATTATTGTACAATTTTCTCTACCTTTAGGTATGTCTTAAAATGTTCATAGTAAGTCACAAGGTGAAAACAACCCAACTGTCCATTGTCTGATGACAATAAAAGATGGTACATACATACAATGGAATATTATTCATCCTAAAAAGAAAGGAAACTCTGATACATCATCTACAACATGGACAGATCTTGAAGCTATTATAGTATGTGAAACAAGCCAGTTGCAAAAGGAGGTAACAGTGTGTTATTCTGTCTATATGAGGTCCCTAGAGAGGTCAAATTCAGAGAGGGACAAAGTAGAATAGTGATTACCAGGGGCCGGGGGACGAGAAAGTGGAGAGTGATTGTTTAATAAGTATAGAGTTTCATTTTGGGAAGACAAAAAAGTTCTGGAGATGTATGATGGTGATCGCTACATGACAATGTGAATGTACTTAATGCCACTGAAGTATATAATTAAAAATGGTTGAAAAGCTAACTTTTAGGTTATATTTTACCACAATAAAAAACTGTTCATAAAAAAATTTTAATTAAGTCTATGTCATGGAGGGGATTAAATAAACAGTATATATACTAATAATTTAAATGCAAAATGTGGAACCTTCTACAAGAAAACTGGCTCTAATTAAAAGAGACTAATGAGACATAATAACCAAATGAAATACATGAAACTTAATTGGATCCTGGTTGGAAAAAAAGGTATGTGGGGAAACAACTTAGGGTTCAAATGTGTTTCGAATATTAGATTTTATGAAATTATTGTTAATTTTCATAAGCAGTAGTAATTGTAGTTGAGCAGGGGGTGCCCTTATCCTTAGGAGATGCATGTTTAACTATGTAAAAGTAAAGGAGCATGGTGTCTGCAACTTATTTTCAAATTGTTTAGGGAAAAAAAAATTTGTGTGTTTATCATAGGCTATTATACATCTCCATAGGAAGTAGTAGTTTTCCCCCTGAAACAACCAGATTAGGCCACAGTTCCAGCAATAAATATATTCTGATTCTGTTCTGCATTTAGTTTAAAAGCAAAATAAAGGGGATTGAATTTAATACTTTCTCTTTTTTTCAAGAGTAAAAATATGTTGGGGCGCCTGGGTGGCTCAGTCGGTTAAGTGACTGCCTTTGGCTTGGGTCACAATCCCAGGGTCCTGGGATCCAGCCCCGCATCGCATCGGGCTCCCTGCTTCGTGGGAGGCCTGTTTCTCCCTCTTCCACTCTCCCTGCTTGTGTTCCTGCTCTCGCTCTCTCTCTCTCTGTCAAATAAATAAATAAAAATCTTTAAATAAAAAAAGTAAAAATATGTTTGTTTTTACTAATTTGAGAGTACATGTGTGAAGTTTAATGAAAGACACCCCATTCCATTATTAATTTTTTGGAAAATATTTAAAATTTATTTATTTTTTATTTTAAATTTAACACAAAAAGTATAAAATATTCACACTATTCAGTAAACTTGCTTTTTATTTTTATTTTTTAATTAAAGATTTTATTTATTTATTTATTTATTTATTTATTTATTTATTTATTTATTTATTTATTTATTTTAGAGAGAGCGATGTGGGGCTTGATCTCACAACCCCAAGATCATGACCTGAGCTGAAATCAAGAGTCAGGCACCTAACCGACTGAGCCACCCAGGCACCCCCAAACTTGCTTTTTATATTTAATATATTCTGCATATCTTTTTTTTTAAGATTTTATTTTTAAGTAATCTCTACACCCAGGTGGGACTCGAACTTAAAACCCTGAGATCAAGAGTTGCACACTCTACTGACCAAGACTTCCAGGCACCCCATTCTGCATATCCTTTTCTGTCAAGATATATAGATCCATCTTTAACCATGGAAACAGATATACCATTATTTAGCCAATCTCTTATTAATATTTAGGTTGATTCCAATCATTGTTCTGTAATGTGCTATAGGGAATATCCTTCTAAGTATGTATGTGCACATGTTCAGACTATTTTTCTTTTCAGACTATTTATTAAAGACAGATTCCCATAAGTGGCATTGCTAGGTCAAAGGGTATGCATATTTAAAAATTTTATTCCTGGGCGCCTGGGTGGCTCAGTTGGTTAAGCCACTGCCTTCGGCTCAGGTCATGATCCTGGAGTCCCGGGATCAAGTCCCACGTCGGGCTCCCTGCTCAGCAGGGAGTCTGCCTCTCTCTCTGACCCTCCCCCCTCTCATGCTCTCTATCTCATTCTCTCTCAAATAAATAAATAAAATCTTTAAAAAAAAATTTGATTCCCACGTTATGTGTCCCCCAAAATTCAAATGTTGAAGTGCTAACTCCCAGGATCTCAGAATGTGACCTTATTTGGAGATTGGGTCTTTACAGAGGTAGTCAAATTCAAATGAGGTCCTTAGAGTGGGCCCTAATCCAATATGACTTATATTCCCATAAAAAGGTGAAATTTGGAGACAGACACACACTCAGGGAGAACACCAAGTGAAGATGAACACAGAGATGGAGGTGAAGCGTCTACAAAGCAAGAAACACCAGAGATTGCCAGCAAACCCACAGAAGCTAGGGAGAGGCTTGGAACCGATCCTTCCTTATAACCCTTAGAAGGCACTAACTCTATTGATAACTTTGATCTAGGACTTCTAGTGTCCCGAATAGTGAGACAATAAATTTCTGTTGTTTAAGCAACCCAGTCTGTGGTACTTTGTTGTAGCAGACTTACCAAACTAGTACAACCCATTACCAGACTTCTCTCCCAAAAGGTTCTATTATTTCATTCTCCTAGTGATAGTGTATGAGAGTGCCCATTTCCTCATACTCCCCACTATGGACATTGTCAATCTTTGTAATCTTGTTGAAACTTAAGAAATTATTTTAATTTTCATATCTTTGGACATTAGTAAGATTGACTAGCTTGTAAATAGTGTGCTCATTATAGTCCTTTGCCCATTTTCCTAATGGTGCAGATAAACTTTTAAAATAAACTTCTTACAGGGGCACCTGGGTGGCTCAGTTGGTTAAGCGACTGCCTTCGGCTCAGGTCATGATCCTGGAGTCCCTGGATCGAGTCCCTGGATCGAGTCCCTGGATCGAGTCCCGCATCGGGCTCCCTGCTCGGCAGGGAGTCTGCTTCTCCCGCTGACCCTCCCCCCTCTCATGTGCTTGCTCTCTCTCATTCTCTCTCTCTCAAATAAATAAATAAAATCTTTAAAAAAATAAATAAATAAAATAAAATAAACTTCTTACAGTAATGCATAAATAGGCCAACCACACACACACACACACAGCTGAAAAGGATGTACAATAAACATTAAGTCTCCTTCCTCTGCTCCCTAGTCTTTTCATCCCTCACTCTAGAAATAGAATAACCATTGTTACCAGATTCTGGTGCCTTTGAGCAAGTTAATCTCTCCGTGCCTCAGTTTCCTCATCTGTAAAATGGTAATAATATCATGTATATACATGCCCTTTTTTTACACATG